GTACCGTACATGTTGCTAGTTTCATAGTATTGTATAGAAATATCACTAACATTTTAAACATGTTGCTTGTTTCATAGTCTTGTATAGAAATACCACTAACATTTTAAACATGTTGCTAGTTTCATAGTATTGTATAGAAATACCACTAACATTTTAAACATGTTGCTAGTTTCATAGTATTGTATAGAAATACCACTAACATTTTAAACATGTTGCTAGTTTCATAGTATTGTATAGAAATATCACTAACATTTTAAACATGTTGCTAGTTTCAGAGTATTGTATAGAAATACCACTAACATTTTAAACATGTTGCTAGTTTCAGAGTATTCTATGAAAATATCACTAACAGTGTGTTTCTTTTTTCAGAGAAAACTTCCCCTATTTCAAAACAGCGCCACATGGATGGAAAGTAAGTGTTCACATAGTTGGAATATAAGCAAAAACTCAGTGTGTGTTTATAAGTGAATTTTGTTGATAACCTGTAATTGACTGTTTTTATACTGAACTTTGACCACTGATTAAGTATTTGGTAGTGATAATATGTGCTTTTGCTGCTATTTTTGTATAGCTAAAGGTTAAGGTCTGGGACTTGTATTACATTTTCTGATATCTGAATATTAAAGTCTGATAACTGTTTGTAAACATGTGGTTTAATTTTAGATATGGGACTTGTGTTGCATTTTCTAATAACTAAACATTAAGTTCTGATAATTGTTTGTATGTGGTTTATCTTCAGACACGAGACATGTGTTACTATTTTCTGATAACTGAACATTAAGTTCTGATAATTTCTGAAGATTTTTCATTTTACAGAACTCTGTCAGACACAATCTGTCCCTTAACAAGTGCTTTGAAAAAATTGAAAAACCAGTTAGTAACGACAAGAACCAAAGGAAAGGATGTTTGTGGGCGATGAATCCAGCTAAAATCAACAAGATGGACGAGGAAGTTCAGAAGTGGACTAGAAAAGACCCTGTAGCAATTCGCAGGAGTATGGCTAATCCTGGTGAGAAGGCTTTTTATTTGTATGGTGGCGAGAATTCTGTTTGGGTGTACGTGAAAATCTGACACAGCTTTGTATTTTTTGTTTGTTGACTTTCACTCAAACCTACTCGGGTTGACAGGACAGCATTTGTGAATAGAGGATAAATGCCTTAAATTAGTTGTAACTTTTTAATGTGGTTTTGATTGGCTGGACATGTCTTATGTTATTTAATGATTTGTTGCACCTTTCATTTCTTTACCCTCTCTAGTCTCTAAGTTATGGCTATTCCATACTAGGGATTCACTCAACATGAAGATAATTTTTCCATTGATTGTTAAACCCTCTAGAGGTGAATTATACTCGCTGGTTTGTTTTATTCTACCACAAATGTGGATTATACTCATTGGTTTGTTTTACTGTACCCCAGATGTGGATAATATTTATTGGTTTGTTTTACTCTACTTAAGACCTAAATTATATTTATTGGTTTGTTTTACTCCACCTAAGACCTAGATTATATTTATTGGTTTGTTTTACTCCACCTAAGACCTAGATTATATTTATTGGTTTGTTTTACTCCACCTAAGACCTAGATTATATTTATTGGT